TGCCTTTGGCTCCAGCACGAGACATGCAGAAAGGGCTGGAGCTGCTGCCACATGCTCCAAGTCAGAAACAGAGCTGGCAGCGCTGTTGCCACTTCCTTATGTCCTTGCCTGGATCTGACCCACATGTAGAGTCGCAGCCCAAATACAACCTGGAGCACAAGGTGAGTGTAAACACCCCTGCACTAGATTGAATCTAGTCCCAACTCACTTTGTGCTGACCAGATGCCATAAAGGTAACTAACTTTCAGTAACAAGCCACGTGCATCACACTTGAAACCGTAACCCATGCAACTGTCTCAAAAGTTAGTGAAAACATCTAGTTCTGTAACAGCGCAATGTTTTTGTATATTAATATCTGTTAACATAATTCTTTGTTACAATCACAAGTCAACAACGATCATATTTTTGAGCATGTCTTTAGGCAATCAGATCTAAATGTATTCCAGGAACTGACAGACACCTGCCTATGTACGAGTGATGAAAGTTCTGCAAAAATGCAATGCCACATTTCGCTACAGCATACATACTTCGTAGTTAAGTTAAAGGAAAATAGCCACATTTAGAAAGGATAAAATTTCTCTTCCCTTTCAGACAACATGAAAAAATTAAACAATCACCATAGTGATACCAAAAGAATACAAGTTCAGAAACTGGAGATTTACTCAAATAATCATCCAGTGCGTTTATCAAATGCTCCTAGCCAAGAAGCGGACGCTAGTCTTTCATGTTGATGACACTTCAAGCTTTGACTGGTTCTCAGTTTAAACACACACGCTTTCATTTTTCTACCAGCTGGATGGTGCAATATGCTGGATCAGTACTCCAAAACACCAGTTTCAGCATCTGCATATATTAAGCAGCATTAGAAGAACAAATAGGGTTCATAAGCTATTTTCAGCAGTACATTCATGACTGGAAAAGAAGAAGAGCTACTGTGGTAAAAAGAAAAAGTGAATCCCAAGTGGCACAAGACCAGAAGGAAAAGTTGCTGGTAAAACTTGAAGTTGTAAGGGGAGTGCAAAGGACAACAAGGAATAGGATAGGGAACATAAATTAAAAATGTTGGGCTCCTATTTGAATAGTTTAGCCTAAATATGGATTTAAGAAAATCATTAGCTGGCTCCTCCTCTTAAAGATTTTAGTTTTTCCCAACATTTGTTAAAATTCTTAAGAGATTATATAGTAAATAAAAATATTAAGAAAAGGAAATTACCACTACAAAAGAACAATTTGCTAGAAGACAATACCAGGTGGACAAGAAATAAAACTGAAAAAAGTTACCATTTCATTTGTAACAGGTAGCCTTTTACGCAGAAGACAGGTCACTACTTCTACTATGGCATCATGTAGTTTGGGAAACCTCAGTAATTCCTGAAATACAAGGCAGTAAACCTTTAGGTAGCATCATTATATTGTTTTGAAAAAAAAATTAATTAAATTAGAGCAAAGCCTTAAAAACCATAATATTAGACTAGCAACAACCAAGGTCCAAGGCTCTTAAAGGTAGAGTTACAATTAGGCTTTTTTCTAGATTTGGATCAACAGTGTAACAAAAGGTGATATCAAGGAATGTTCCATTTGATAGTTAGTTAGCATTGTTAGTTGTTGTCCACAGGGATGCATTAAGGGCTGATTCGTTACATGAACACAGTCTGGATATGCTGAAATTTGAGATTATAGTATCCAGTTCAAATTGAGAGTGATTTGTGTGTACAAAACACCCAAATGGGATATGAGCAAAATACTGGGGCTCAGGAAGCTCTATGAAATCTGTAACCATAGCTACAGTAGTTATAACCTTGTTCATGTCTCATTTCAAGAGTTGTCCCCCAATTTCTACTACTGAACTGCCTTCATAGCAATTTCTTGCCTACCACCCAAACAGAAATTTTCCTGTGCTCTCTATTATAAAACATACAAATTTTATTTTTCCCCCTCCCGTCTTAACTCAGAAGATGAGAAATTTCAAACCAAAAATCTAACAAAGTCAGATGGTTAAGTAAGGAAGAGACTTCAGAAGCCAGAATGTAGCATAAGTTTCTAATAATGTGCTTAACTCTAACTGGAAAAAAAAAAAAAAAACAAATGCAAGAATTTTGAAAGAAAAAGGCATAACAGTAAACTGGCTTCCATTACTTTACATAGACTACTCATTAATTTTAAAAAGTTCTTACATAACTTTTTTATTCATTCTGAACAAAAAAAAAGTTCCCTATAGGAATAAGTGCTTTGGAAAACAACTTTGTAAAGTTTTCCAAAAAAAGTTTATTCAACATATTCCTAAAATCTACACCTTGCTGTGAGTTAACATAATAAGGCTGAAGCGTTGTCCTTGATGGTACCTGAGAAAGGACACGATGCCTGAAAGTCCGTCTAACAGCTCTAACTATACAGTTGATCCAATAACAGATATCATTAAAAAGCACTGATTCTCTTAACATACCAAGGAAAAAATGTATTTTCATGTAGAATTTTTTTTTAAATACTGCATTTACCCAAATCCAAGATGATCCTGACTTCCCCACCTGCCCTGCCCTGCGCCACTTTTGCTCCCCGCCCCGGCACAGCCTCAAGTCCCCACCCCACTTTCTACATTGTCATCCACTCCCGAAGTCTCTATCCCCCACTTGCCCCTACACCTCCCCATAACCTTTACTCCAGCACCAGCAGGCTCCACCCCTGCTGCAACCTGGGGCATGGCCCCAGATCCGGCCCCACTCTGTAGCAGTGGTACAGAGCAGCGTGGAAAGGAGACTGGGGGCAGCAAGGGCCCAAAAGGAGTGGCAGGGAGTGCAGAGGCAGCAGGAGGCAGGCAACAGCTGCAGCTACAGCTCCAGTCCTGACCTGACCTGGGGTTGGGGTTAGGGCTGGAGCCACAGCAGCTGCCTGCCCCCCACCACCTCATACTAAATTCCAAGACAAGGGGCGTCATCCTATGATCATGATAAAAGGGAAAAAAAACAAAACAAAAAAACAAACTCGTCTTGGTATCAAGTAAATATGGTAGGTTTTTGCCTGGCACCAAGAATATAGATTTAGATCAGCTGTTATGACTGCCTTGAATTTTCAGATTTAAACTAAAATTTTCCACCTATAAAAATCAACCTTTTTATTAATTTTGATATTCAACAACAGTACTTAAACTGCATTCTTCTAATGTTGAGCATCAACATTTTTATGACTAAACCCCAGCACTTAGTGGGCTCATATGTTAAAAGGCTTTGGATACAAACAGACATTTGCTTTTATCCCAGGATAAACCAATTTATCCCAGGACAAAGTTTGAATGACCATGTCCACTGCCTCGGGAATTGCAATGTATGCCTGAACAGTTTTCCTGGGATTGTATTACTGAATCAATGACAGAAAAGCAGAAGTGCATTAGGCTGCTCACTAAATGTACACACATTTCTGCTTTGGGACAAAGCATAGGTACAATTTGTCCAGGAATAAAAATGCAACAACTATTCCTAGCTTTTGTGAATAAGATCTTATACATATTTCCAATGTAACTTACCTCTGGAGAGATAACTACAAATTGTTGCATGCTATTTTTACAGGTGCAAATTTTAAAAAGCTTTACTCTGTGCCTACTCTTTTACACCTAACCTTTTACAGCAAGTAAACAAGACAATTAATTTTACTTGAAGTAAAGCCACTCATCATTTTCATATTTGTCATAAAGCACTGGAACCAGCTTTTACAAGCTGAGGACTTTTTAAAAGAAAAAACTTGCAACTTTTCCCATCTTGTGTTGAAAATAAACAAACTAACTCATCATCAACCCCTGGGTTTACCTGAGTACTGTAATTGCTACAATGCTGGATAATCCTCTGCATTTCCTCATGAACCAGCTCCACACAGCGCAAGCTAGGTTCCTCTAAACGTTTAATTTGCCTCTTCACCAACAGTTCAAATGAAACTTCAGGCACAAACAAGGCAGGACGGGGGCCCTATCAAAAAGGAAAACAAACTGTAGTTATACTGTATACTTTAGTAGCACACAAAACGTGCTAAGGGCTATACAGACCATAAAGGGGCATTTCTTAAGTAAATCACGTCTTACTCTCAACCTCTTTTTGCATGTTGTGTGAAATACATTTATATTTATATGGAATAATGGAAAAAACCTATTAGAAGAATGTTATAGTTATCCAAAACATTACAAATCCAGGAAAGGTAAACATTAAGTTTATATTTAAAAGAAAACCAAAGCATGTTCAGTAAGTAATGCACATTAATGCACCTTACCAACTGTAAAAATTTCACTAGGCCTGTAACGCCTGTAATAACTACAACATGCTTCCCATTCAGTTACTGATAAATGCATTCAACTAATTCCTTCTTGACACTTTTTGAATGGAAAAGTTTTTAGCTTTACTGTTTTAATACATAAACACTGAACACATACCCCCTCCCATAGAATACTTTTTACTGATTGAATATAAAGAAGCATCAGCTTTAAATAATCATGTTGTTAATTTAACTTGCAAGAACAGATTCATCAATGCATTAGAGTGGCACACAGCAGCCAGGGGTGATTATAGCCCATTAGCGTGCAGCTGATTTACTACTTTAAAGTGCTACATTGGCCAAACTAAAATTACATAAACAGGAGTAAGTAAGAATCCAATCCCACTCAGTGCTATAAAGGGCTCTCCACAAAGCCCTAGATCAGTCATGCCCTGGGAAAATGTCAAGTACTTAAATGCCCAATCTATCATGTGATCACTGAACCTTTTGCAACAATTTTGTCAATAATCTATGAATGAACACTCTTTAACATATCTGTTCCCTTCATGCAACTAAATTATTATAACCAACAGCAGTGTTTCATGCAAAAGAACTGCAGAGGAAGGATAATAATTAGCTACCTCCCATTCTCAAATACCTCTCTTAAAAGTCAAATTAGTCAGTCTATAGCCTATATAATTGGTGCTCAAACTTTCTGTCCAGCAGGCCAGATGGGCAGTACCTGTCCCCTCCACAGACTGAATCTGGCTGGTGGATGCAATCCAACATCTGGGACAGGTGCAGTGGGCCCCCATCCAGCTGTGTGAAGGGGGTGGGGGGGGAGTACCTCAGCCCCAAGCCAGCAATGCAGGGGAAGGCGGTATGGCCCAGCCCCAAAGGGGGCGGGGGGTGAGAAAATGACCCAAGTCTGATCCAGCCCCAAGGTGGGAGGAGGCATAGCCCAACTCCCATCTGGCTGGGTAAAAGGAAAGCGGACATGGACCCGTCATGTAGGAGAGAAAGGGGTGTAGCCCAGCCACAATTTAGCTGGGTGGAGGGAAGAGGGGGTATGGTCCAGACTCAGGTGGGCTGGGGGGAAAAAGAGAGAATAAGCTGGTCCTGAGCTGTGCAGAGGGAACAGGGCATAGCGAGCCCCACTCTGGCCATGCCAGAGGAGGGTCATGGCCCTACCGCAATCCACTGAATAGGACATGGGAGATTAGCAGTGGGGAAGGATGGCAGTATATGCTGCCACTGCTCCCCCACCACCAAATTTCCTGACCCATGGGGAGTTCCACGGGCTGGATGCCAAGGCTCTGCAGGTTGCATTTGGCCCGTGGGTTGGAGTTTGAGCACCCCTGGCCTACATACTTGCATCTACCTGTTAAATTATTATGGTTATGAATTACATTAATTCCAATATGATTCTCTTCACCTTATAGTCTGTGCTAAATATTTCAATTTAAAACAGATGGACTCTTAAATGCAAGTTACTCCATTTTTAAGGTCAGATAAACCAAAAGACTGATGCTTTTGCATGTCTTGAAGGATCCAATTTTAATTTTTTTTTTTTTTTTTAATTTTGAGCGATTAAGAGGTACACTCTCAGAAAATTCAATTCACACTTGGTAAGGACTAAAAATTGGAGAGGATACAATATTCTGTATGAAAACCACAGAAGCTGAATCCCTAGTTTAAATGTAAATTCTTCCATTAAAACCACTATTCCCATAACACAGACAAAAACTGAAACAATTGGTTTTTAACCACAGTTCAAATGCAAAGAGGGTAGTAAACATTAAGAAAGCCAGGATACTACTACTCACTGTAGCATTTCTAATGGCAGTCAGAATATCAATAGTATTAAGGCCACCTAAAGGGTCAACAGATTCTAATGTCCGCCCAAAGGTCTCATGAAAAATATAGCAGATTAATGCTCCACCACACCTGAAAAGTGGGGGGGGGAAAAAAAAAAAAAAAAAAAAAAAAAATCAAGAAATTAAAGAGGAAGTAATAAACTGCTGTTTTTCTGTGCTTAAAAATATTTTATACTAGCATAAAGGTTTTAAAAGCAATGTGCTCTGCTTTTCTGCTACTGAATTTTAAATGCAATGTGATCCAGGTCAACTATCCAAATCAGAATTCTAAGGAACAATTTCATACTTACAGCTCAGAAGTTTCTATGTATTTTGCTGTTCCTTCAATAGTGTTGCAATATTCAGTGGCAAATTTGGTAATAAGCTGTAATAAAGTGGCGCTCTTGTCCTCCACAGGCTCTCCATAGCTATTCAGCAGAGACTGGTACTGAGCAGCTAAAACATTTATCCTAGTTTTCAATTCTGGCAAGCAATCCCTGATATGATGCATTAGTAACCTAAAAATATGGAGAGGATAAATTCCTGTCAGAAGGGGGAAGAAGAGATCATTTTTATGTTGTTATCTCCACCATAATTTATAGGAGAAACAAGCAGGAACAAGCAAAAATAACCTTGTACAATGAAAGGAAGCCATTTACTCAGAAAGACCACAGTAACATCAGAAACTGAAATACTGAAGCAAAAAAAAAGGAGACCTCCCTGTTTCACTATACAACAGCAGCAAGTATGTTAATATACACATTCATTTTAACATAAAATTGTATACGTTACTACCATGTATAAAATTTTATATATGCTACTAACACTGCCTTACATTAAAAAAAAAAAATCACTGTTTTACACATTTTGCATAACAAGTAATTATCTGAGATACCTGTTCAATGTTCTAGCAAGATATTTTGTTCCATTTCGGTTGGCTAGAGACGGATACTTCTTTTGAAGAAAACCATATTCATCCCGGATAGAATCACCTACACTCTTCTTATTGTTGATATCTAATTGGCTCCTAGAGTTGGATAAGATTATTAGCTAATTAATAAGTATATAATTAAACTAATGTTTGCTTCCATTTTTCTTGATAGGACAACAAACATCTACCATTCAAAATTAGCCGACTATCCCAGAATTCCTCTTCTATAACAGCATATAACAAGATATGGAAAACATTTTCTTATGGATATGAAAGTGGTTGTAATACACTGAGGGCAAACAGATGACACTGTATTTAAAGATGCTACGAAGGTTGCTCCATGGACTGACTTACTCACTTCACAGCAATATAGTATGGGAAGCAGCCACACAGTACACTAAGCAAGCAGCTTCTACATCACTTTTGACATGGACAACTGAAAGGATGAGGGAGAAGGGTAGCAAGGTTTTGAAACCAGGCTCCTTCATAGCAGTCGACACTTGATAACTGGGTTAGCTTTTATATGCGTTTCTTTAACTAAATGCAAATTTGACTCTAAAATCTGCAAATGTTTTAGTCTAAAACCCACGTCTATATGCATGAAAAACCAATGAATTTCTTAATATTGAGTTTTTTTTAAAAGAACATATAATGTGTCAATTCCCAATTATATGTACCTGTTTACCACCCCAATTATGCCAAGTTTAACTGGAATCACACGTCCCATAAGTACATCCATGGCATCAGTGCCAGCATCCATAAGATCGAGTTTTGTGATAACAGCAAGCGTTCTTCGACCTATCCAAACAACAGGAAAGCCATCACTTACTAGAAGTTTGTCAAGTCAGTCTATTCAGTTCAGTTAGAATTGGCAAATACCCATTTTCTCCTGAGGAAAACAGTACTACTAATATAGGCTCAATCAGTTCCTGAAGAACATCATCAGATGTTTCCCCGTCTCCCCTCAAGGAAAACAGGAACTTTATACTTATGCACTGAAAAGGACAGCATCTAGACCCAAATTTGGAAAGAAGCATATCCCATAATCTCAGATATGTAAATTTCAAAGAATATTTTTGAAGTCCAAGACTATTCTGGGGCTATAACAGTGACCAATAAACTAGGAAGGATTTGAGTGGCTAGGTACATAAATGAAAGGCTAGTAGAGACAAGCCAGGTTATGTCACAGCAAGAAGCATTCATTCACTTTCTACAGGACTATAATAAACTGGAATCTTAGAGCAAAGATAACTGAGACAGGGCTCCTGAAAGCACCGTTTACAAACGACCACAGATCAGAATCCTAACCACAAACAGGACGGTCTTTCTGCAGTTTTTTGCGGGAATAATGGTATCTGAAAAGGACTGGGCCTATGTTCTCACAGCAAACTGGTCACTAAGACTCAGAGTTTAAGGCTGGGAATTCTGGGAAGTAATCCTACAGTCAAGATCAATCATGGGTACAAGACAGTAAATAAAAAGCAACGTCTGTTGCTGTGAGCCAGGTTGATCAGACTAAGCAAAGACACAGAGGATGTTTTCTATGAGGATTAAAAGGGTCACCAGCAAGTGGAGCCTATGAAGAGCTTAACGTGTAGAGGCCCATGAAGAAAAAAAATCCAGTGCACAATGCCACTTGAAAAGAAAAAAAAAAACCCAAAAAACATGCACTGCAGGGAGAAAGACCTTGAATTTCCTCACCAAAAAGGTAAGTAATAAATACGTTTAATAAATGAGAAATCCAGAACCTGAAAAAGAAGGTAGAAGTAACTTTGCCTTGAACTTCAACAATATGTTGGAGATTTAGAGGGGCCATGCAGAAGAAGGGAAATCCCTGGCCTGTCAGTGAACCCAGGCAGGAGAGGTAATACAACAAAGAATTGTCCAAAAGTATATTAGCTGCAGTCTCTTAATCCAACTTTAAAGCACCTATAGTCAGCATATTTATTTGAACAACAGACTCCAATAGATATGAAAGGGCTTCTTGTATACAGTCTATAAGTTTGCAGAGTGCTTTAGGAACCTTTTGGATGAAATTCACCATATGCCATCTAGCCACAGGAAATTAAATCAACAAGCACTTGCCAGATTAATACAGTAGACAATGGGAAGCAACTGAATGCTAGATCTTTCCAAAGGCTCATTTGCTCCTCTGACAATTAACACAGAACCATGTATGACAGCCAATTAGCACCTTCAGGAATATGCATTTTTCTTCAACAAAAGGAACACTTTTTGAAAAATTAAGCAATCATAAAGGAGCCATACTAAATAAACACCAAGGAAAGCAGCATTCTTCAATACCATTTTGCAGCTCTGAAAATAGCAATAGATCATATGATTGTATTGGAATAAGAAAAAGATCAGGATTGCCCTTGCTTGCGAGTCAGCAGGCCCTTACTGGATATCGATTCATCTTAGCATTGCAAATAGTTGCAAAATGGTACAAAATGCAACTGGAAAAGTGCAGCTATTGTATTTTCCAACAAAACACAGGAGTATGAGGAACAAGTACCATTTCCCCCAAATAGCTTCAATCTCACCCATATTTACAATTGATTCACTCAGAAAGAAAGAAAGAAAGAAAAAAAATCACAGACCCCCGATTAGCTTGCTGCTTACCATCTGGATCTACCTCCCGTGCAATTTTAAGTGCCTCTGATGTGGCCATGTCTGTGTTGGCAGCTGTGACTGCCAGAATAATTGAATTTGGGTTACTAATGAATCGAAGAATTAGCTCTCTGATTTGAAGTTCAATGTCCTTAGGTTGATCACCAACCGGTACCTAAAGGAAAGAAGAGAGAACTGAGAGGGGAATCATGCAAATGCAAAACTAAATCCACCATCTAACAGAAGTTACTGTAAAAGTCTACTCCCTACAACATTATGTAATACTGTGATTTCTCTGTCCCATAAATCAAATTTGAAAATCACGAAGTTGAAAAACCTGAGAATGGGTTGGAAAATGGGGTATTAAACTAACTAACTGAGTATATCCTGACAGAGAAATATTGCGTTTGGCTTGAATTGCAAATCAGAGGTATTTGGGCCCCTATCTGTTGTCTCTTGTCTTCACAGGGAAAAAGCAGCCCCTTAGCACAGAGAATTCAGTTAAACCATCACAAGATCCAAAAAAACTCCTCTGCTCAAAGCATTTCCTCCATTATCCCATTTTCCACTATTCGTGGTACAATGAAGCTGCATTGCAACTCCTATCAGAGAAACTCTGGAAAAAAAGTTGATTTAATCATTTAGGGTGCTGACAGACATGAAAAAAAAATAAGACAGAACAGCGTTTTACTGGGAGAGGCAGCGCATTGGTTCAACCTGGCTCTGCAGCATCTGTATAGATTGGGCACTTGCCCAGCATCTGTATAGCTCACGCACTTCAGCAGGAATTTTTGGCACTTTTATCTAATAGCTAATTCAATCAGCCATTACATAAAAGGACCAAAAAGCCCCACTGAAGTGCCCGATCTATACAGATGTTGTGTGAACCGGGTCCAACTAACAAGCTGCCTCTTCTGGGCACTCACTGCGTTCAGTGCAGGGGCGTGCTGAGCTTAAATTAAAACATCATTTTTTTCCACATCTGTAAGCAGCCTTAATCAATGGCTGCTGACCTCTGAAGTTCTACCTCCCTTATAAAATTTATTCAGCTTCTGATGCTCCATAACACTTCCTCCTCCCCTTCTTGCTCAGTAAGGGAGGGAAAACAGAAGAGAACCATCAAATATGCAAATGTTAACTACCGGGTGGGGATGCTTCAAGACTTTGTAAGAACTACTGGTCAACTTGAAGAAAACATTTTCTGTTTCTAAACAGAAATCTAGATAGTTTATGCAACAGTGGTGTTTTTCTTTGATCAAACACTCAACCTTGCAACAAACCAAAAATCATATTCAATCTCTTACCTTTGTCATTCCTGGCAAATCCACAAGAGTCAAGTTGACAACATTAGGTGAAAAAATCTTAAGGTGAATAGGTTCAGGGCTGATCCCCTAGAAATAACAAAGATGTGACCAAGAATTAGTCAAAATACTGGCTTTCTGGGGAGTATATTCAGGTAACAAAACACCTTTGACACAACCCGAAAATGTGCGCTTGCCCAAAACTAAAGCCAATCAAATTTATGAACCAAGGTCTCGGCCGTCTCTGCAGTTCTGCTTTCCCTTAGATGATACATACCATATTTACCCGTATCGAAGACAACCCTGAATTTAAGATGACTCCCATTAGATTCCATACATGGAAAAATGGAAAATTATAACAAAATTATACATGTACCAAACCTCATTATCAGAGGGTCATCTTAAATTTGTCCCCCCCACACTGCTACAGCATGGAAAGCAATGGCAAGGGGGCAGGACACTGAGGGTTAGTGGAGTGGGGAGGCAGGCAGTGTGGCTTGACCCCTGTCCCTGCCCCCCACAATCTCCCCCAGCAGCGTGTCCACTAGGGCTGTGCGAAACTTCAGTAGCCGATTCGATTCGGAGGAGATTCGGCCTGATCTGGGGACTGAATCTCAGAATCTGAATTGAATCGGAAGGCCAATTAAAAGCTGCAAATCAATTTGAAGCATTCAAATAAATTCGGAAAAGCTTTGGAAAAGATTTGGACGCTTTGGAGATTTGTCCATGGACTAAACAGGCAGCTGACACAGCTGCCTCCAGCTGGTAAGTCTGTTAGGGTTGGAAAGAGGTATGAGGGAGGAAGGGATTGGGGCTGGGACAGCCTGCCCAGTTGGGGCAGGGAGGGTAGTTAACTTGGGAAAGGGGGGGCACAGGATGCGAGCATGGCAGCGCTGGGAGCGGAAGCTCTGCCCTGCTGCTGCTTGCCCAGCTGGGGCAGCGGGGGCAGGATGCAGGTGCAGCTTGCTTCAGGCAGAAGAGGGCAAGCAGCAGCAGGGCATAGCCCCCGCTCCCAGTGCTGCTGTGCCCACATTCTGCGCCCCCCTCACCAGCTAGCAAGCGGTGGCAGGGCAGAGCCCCCGCTCTCAGCGCTGATGCGGGTGCGGCAGCGCTGAGACTCGCGGAGGCTATGCCCTGCTGTTGCCTGGAGTAAGCCGCGCCTGAGTCATGCCCCACCCCACCTTACTGTAAGGTCTGTATATATTTCATAGGCATTAAGGCTGGAAGGGACCTCAAAAGATCGAGTCCAGCCCCCTGCCCCAGGGGCAGGAAGTCAGCTAGGGTCAAAGGATCCCAGCAAGATAAGCATCCAAACGTTTCTTAAAAACTACAGCGAAGAAGAATTATATGAACCACAATGAAGAAGAATTTAACTTGGAGAGGTAGACTCTCCTGTGTGTTACTGTGTGGTAAAGAAGACTAGTATCAATTTCCTGAATCTTCTTTCAGATTAGTCATTTCATACCAATGCTAACATCATCTGGGCGTACTAAGTGGATCCACTGCATTCCTTCCTATACAGTAGGGCTGTATTGTGCTTTTCTAGCTTTTAGCTTTCAGATTTTGCCTCAGAAATTTAAGAAAGCAGTATATTCTTTAAGTTAAAATAGCCTGCTTGGGACTCACCTTATTATTTCCTGAAATCCTCTCAGTTTCACACTCAATTTCTTGTCGGATTTCTTCAAAGTCTGTATAGATCTGAAATACAGAAAGAATAGGAACAAAGTCAGGGATAGCAATTCCTTACTACATAGATTGTGGCAACACATTGATGTGTTCTTACCAAGAGCAAGTGAAGTACTGTAGCAAAGTAATAAGAGATGAAAAAGGAATCGCCTTTAGCGCTATATTAAATATGGAACATTAAATGGAACATTAAATAGGAGAGGTTGGTTAAATGAGGAATAATATTCACTTTGTTTACCGTGGCAGCAGCAGTTAGTACTGCCTACCACAATTAGATAAAGGGAAAAAAAATTATCCATCTTAAAACGCCTAGTTTATTATTGTACGTGCAAGTGTAACAGACAGTCCTACCCTCAGTTCCATACTTGTCTGCCCAGGTTCTCTGTGCCCTTTCATCACCATCTCCTTCTAATCTTACCTGGTCTGCCTCTGCTCTTGCAGCCAACTCTTTCCACTCACACAGAATACCGACAAGTCAAAAGGAGGTAGCACAAACTATCCCCCCCAGTCCTCTGTACTTTATGATCCCATGTTCCTATGCATATGCTTCCCCTGCCAACCTCCACATATTTCCCTGCACCTCCACTTCTGTCCAGCAGCTGTTGAAATACAGTTTGGAAACAACAGCAAGTCAATCTGCAGTTATAACATTTTCAAAATGTTTGACTGTTACACCACATACACATAAAAACAGCTCTCTGCATATGTGACCTTACCCAAAGCAACACAAGGAGAAAGAAAAAAAAGACAAACACACCTCTGCATTTAGAATATCTGCCCTACCCCAACGTGGGACCCTTTTCAGAGTCCAAAACCAAAACAAAGCAACAGACTAAGGAAGAAAGGCTTAAAACAAAACCGGCAAACCTAGAAAGCCCAATAAGCACTAAAGCAGAAGTGTCAAACTCATTTGGCCCCATGGGCTGAATAAGTGGCACCACACATGGTGCCCGCCCTGGCTGGTCTGGGACCTGCATTGCATGTAGTTCCTGCCCCAGACCAGCCAAAGCAGGTGCCGCATGTCCCAGGATGAGTGTTACATGCATCTCATCCCAGGCCCTGAGCACAGGACTGACCCAGTACATGCCGCACATGGATCAACTAGAGACCAATGGCAGCACCAGGGATTGGATGGGGCTCTGTAGGCCATATCTTTCACACCCCTGCACTGAAGTCCTTCAGTAACTTTGTTCTTACTTGCTTCTTTGTCGCATAGCTGGGTCAAGTTCTCCTTATTCCCTTCAAACTCCTTTGGAGATCTTTTTACTGCCTCCTTGGGTTTTTTTAACCTGTGCTCCATTAAGTCCCTGGTTAATCCCTTGGTTGACTAACTGATGGTAGAGTATATAAAACAAAACCCAAATGATTTATGACATTATTTCATGATCTCTGCAAAGAGACACAAAGCAAAGCCAACAATACAAACAAATCTGGAATTTTTAAGCTAAGCTATTTGGGAGTTGCAATGAAATGAGAGAGACAACCCCAAAGATACATAACTTAAGAGTGTTTTGAGATTGAAGAAGTTCCCACAACCTTTCCAAGGGGGTGTAAAACCTACTTCGAGACATGTAGCACATGGAATTGGTTTATTTTAGGGAAAGTTTAAGAAAGAAATATTTGGATGAAATTTCAGTCACATAATGGTAATTAAGATTAACCATGCATGAAGCAGCTACTGCCACTTCGGAAGCATACCTTATTTTTGGTGTGTAGAAATTTACCCCATTCTTCTGCATCAACACCTGAAAACAAATAATCATTACATGAGAAATTCAACTTCAACACCTTTTTTAGGGCCTGTCTGTTGCAAAGTTTATTTTTGAGGTGACAATAGAGAGTTAATCTATTATCAGAAGTTAAACAGTTCAATACAAATATATTTAACATTCTGCTTATCCCAACATCTGCTCCTCATTCCAAGCTTTAATTTGTAAATCTGTTGTCTAATTTCCACTTTCTCATTTGTGGACCTAATTAAACACATGACTCATTTATCTATCCTAGCAGGCTCCAGAAGTGCTCTGGCCTACTTAAAGATTAGCTTGTGAAAGTGGGGGATGGGGAAGGGGGGAGAGGAGGAAGAGGGGGACAGGAAAGGAGGGGAGGGATAAAAAAAAATCATTTTCGGTCTGCTTCTTTTTTTGCTTATAAAAAGTTTTTTTGTTTTTTAAGATACAGTCTCTTCTTGGGAGGTTCTATCAGATTACAGCTGAAAGGGAAAATTATGCTGGAAAATGTAAACACCACATTGTGAATAGTATTAACAGTGAAACCTTGGGGTTAAAGTCTTTTCAGGACCAAATCTGCCAAGCATTTTAATTCAATGGTGATTGACAGTGTTTAAGACCTTTGAGGAACAGGCCCAAAGACTGCAAAGGAGATAGAGAAGTAAGCATTCCTATCTTCCAGTGTACATGACTATCAATATCAACTTTAGCTATATTTGGAGACCCTTGTGGTCACATAACTAGATCTCAATATTTTTTAGCAAAATTTTCATTTGAGATTTCAGGCTTCTCTACACAGAACTCAGTTTTTTAAGAAAAACCAACAAGAACACAGATGAGTATCTGGCCATCCAAATAGTGCTTATCTACAATTAAAGCACAACAGACTGGTTCATTCACATAACGATTTCCAAGAGATGCTCAACAGTGCAGATTAAAAAGGCATTTGGTAACTAAAAATGAACATTATATGATAAAGCAGCACATCACAAAATAATTGAAAAAAAAAAAAAAAAAAGGTTAAGTTCGTATCTTACATTCTATTGCAATGCAAAGTCAGAAAGAATTAAAAATTAAAAAGTCACAAGACCCAGAAAAATAACCAGTCAATACAGTAGCTAATGTTCAAAAGTAAAAGTATAATCAGCAATAAGTGGCATTAAATGTAGGTGGTTAGCATACATAAACATGCAGAGGATGTGTAGGGAGGAAAAGCAAGTGGTAAAGGCAACCTTTAGAAAGGTGTCTTGGATTTTTCCATGTGGCTGGGTCTGCAGTTAAAGAGAAACAGCATTGAATCATGTTTAGCATTTGCTTTTACATTTTATATAGCACTTTTTTTTGATTTTCCATATTAGATGTATGGGGATCACAACTGCATGCATAAATGTGCATGTTATTCAATTATTAATGATTATGCATAATGCATTAGCACAATATACAGTAATTAGATCTCATCTAAACATTGATAAGTAAATGATGCACATTAAACAGATATATCATGTCATGTAGTATACTTGATGTCTTTATTGTTGCTGTTCATCTGATTTGACCAATTGACCATGGAATACTGATTTCAGCACATCAAGCGGTGCTTTTTCTTTTGTTATTCAGCACAGCAATCTTAACTTCCCTGGATCAGGTATGTTTCCCTATGATGAATTAGCTATGCAATGAAAACAAGGCATTAGTCCAAGTGCTTCTTGAGAGTACTTTTGGAGAAGGAAAAGATCAATAACTTTTCTGCATAGTTCATAATTAGGCATGTCAAAAAAATTCTGCACTTCAGTGAACATAAGACATGAAGATTAAAAAAAGTGGCCATAATTCTGAAGTTGAGTTGAAATGTTGTCAGAGCTGTGATAGCCCAAGAGATGCACAAGAAGTTTTTTTGCACTCTGACTATTACAACAGATTAAGTGGGAATTTCAGTTTCATAGTTATTAGGGGCTGGAAGGGACCTTACAGATCATCGGGCCCAGCCCCCCTGCACTTGGGCAGGAAAGACCAAGCTGATCTCAAAGATGGCACCAAAAGAAAACCCTTGGCTTCTCCCATAAATCTATGACAGACTTGACAAGAGACAGTGCCAGGTAGCTTGGACCTCAAACTTTAGGTTTTGTTTAAAGCTTTACACAATCCCAATCAAATAAATTAAAACACTGTTTTTACAGTACAAAAAAATTGAATTTCAGTATTCTGCTGTGGTCCTTGCAACTTAAACCTCCACAGCATCACAGTAGCACAAGGACCAAAACTTAGACTTAAGGGTTTTCGTCACACCAATCCGTGCACCGCAACATAGGGCTGTGCAAAGAGTCAGCCCCCGATTTGAATCGGCAGAGATCTGGCCTGATTTGGCGGCCGAATCTCGGAATCCAGAAACTCTTTAATCTCTCTGAATCGAATCAGAACCCTGCAAATTGATTCAGAGAGATTTGGAAAGATTCGACGATTCAGACAGACACAGCTTTAAATGTTTTTTCTACATACCTAAAGGTACCAGCAGCTCGTGAATGCTGAGATGCTGGGGTGAATGGAGCATCAGCAGTGGACCTGGAAGTGGACCAGAAGCACTTCTGAGTCCATCAGGAAGCACACTGAGGGCCCCCCCACCCCACTGGCTCAGTGACTGGTGCCTCCTAGGTCTAACACCTGGGGGGGGGGGCGACACCCAGGGCCACCCTGAGGCCAGTTACTGGGTGGGGGGAGAGCAGGGGGCCCCCCCAGTGCGCTCAGCGGTGGACCCAGAAGTACTTCTGGTCCAATTCTGGGTTTGCTGCTGAGCACGCAGGCCCTCCCCGCTCCCGTGGGATGCTCCATCTGCCCCAGCATCGCAGCATTCACGAGCCGTACCTGGTACCTCAAGGCATGTAGAAAAAAAAAATTTAAAGCTGCATCTATGGCCGAATCACTGATTCTCTGAATCAGCATTGAATCTTCACATTTGGATTTGGCCGAATTGGATCAGGGACAGCGATCTGAATCAACAAATCGAATTACTGTCTCCGATTCAGGCCAAATCCGAATCGAACATGGCCCATTTCACACACCCCTACTGCAAGGCATCAAAAGCCTGGTAAATGTCAACTGCCTGAAAAAAAAACACACAACAGTGGTACTTGCTCTTGGTGTCAAATTCATCTGGCCCTGTGGGCCAGACCTTCCCCTCAATGTGCCAGATCCAATACACACAGTGCTCATGCAGGGCAGGGCCAGCACCATGCAAGGTCAGTCCAAGAGGCTGTGGGTCCCAGACTGGCTGGAGCAGGCACTGTGTGCAGCACACGTCCCAGGCCCTGCCCCTAGGGCTGTGTGAAATTTTGGCAGCCGTTTTGTTTTGGAGGCATTTCAGCCCATTTTGGTGCCCGAAACACCAAATCCGAAATAAAACGGAAGGCTCCGAAACTAAACAAAACCATCCAAAATGTTTCAGATGTTTTGGAGGCAGGCTTGTGGGGAAACAAACTCAGAGGGGAGAGGTGGGGAAAAGGACTATTGTGATATTGACATCCATAGCTGGCCAGTGTCTGCGATTTGTCGCTGAGGTCCCTTCCAATCCCAGTACTCTGGGGGAAGGATGGCAACCTGTTGTCATTCTGTGCACAGATGCAGGCACCCACGCCCCCCAGGAGAAGGAGGAGTCTGGCACAACCCTGCAACACTCCC